TACTAATATACTTATGTATATAAATGAAAGGATAAAAGATAAATTCAAATAGTCTTATGTTCCATTTGAATACAATTTGGTAAAAATTGAGTAAAATTGGGTGAAATTAAGTGAATTTTATTCAATTGAGTGCAAAATTTGTAAATTATTGAGTATATTTGGTTGAAAATAGAGAAAATTAAATTTAATAGAGTCAAATATAATTAACTTTACACCTAAATGTAATGATGTAGATCAAATTTGAAAATGATAACAGTAAAGGTTGCCGCTAGAGAGTCTTTTCAAAATGCTAACACTAGCATCTAATTTTATTGACTAATATTGAGTGAATTGGTTTGAAACTAATCAAATTAACTCTCAAGTCAATAAAATTTATTGTAATGAGATGAAATTAGGATAAAATCTAGTTATTCTATACAATTCATCATATATTCTTTTCGTCCCAAAAAGAATATCACACTTCACTATTTAAAAATCACGGAAATTTTATTTATTTGTGCGTTATCATTTATATGTATAACTTATCTATAATTTCTACATATAATAAATTTAAGGCATATAATTTTATACTTTTTTTCAAGAAGATAATCCATTTTATGAGGGAATGATCAAGTAATGTAATTAGTTCAAATGGTAAAATAAAAGTAAAAATTTAAAAATATAATATGCTTATTGAAATGCAAACATAGTTATGAATTTATCGATTTTAGTTCTAATCGGGTTCGGATATTATTGGTTTCAGATCTAATCGGTTTCGGGTATTATCGGGTTCGGATCTAATCGGTTTCGGGTTTAATCGGTTCGGATATTATCGGTTTCGGATCTAATCGGTTTCGGATTTAAATCGGATATGAATTATTTAGTTCGGTTTCGGTTCGATTCGGATCATTTCGTGTTTTCGGTTATAGATCGGATCTTCAGTTTTCGGGTCATTCCGATTTTGGTTTCGGATATTTCGGTTCGGGTAATCGGTTCCGGTTCTGTTTTGCCAGGTCTATGTACAAGATTGCTACTAATAGTATATTCACACATTTGAATGTCAAGTTACTGACACGATTCTCAACTAATGTCACTTAGGGTACTTAAACTTCTTTATTTTTTTTTTCTCTATCTACAAATCAATTATTGTTATATTTATTGCATTCAATTTTAAATTTTTAATCAAAAAAGCAATTTAACCAGCAAATCGCCATGACTCCTAGCCATGAGCCTGAGAAATCTTTAGAACGGACGTGCTACAATTAGTTTTGGTCCAGGGCGGCCCAGGGGAAGATAAGTTGGGCAGTGGTCGAAGGGGCTTTATCCTGGAGCGGCCCATAATTATTAGCCTTTCATATACCTAGTTCTTGTTCCTCTAAATGTTTAGGAAACCCTACGGCCCACCATGGCGTTGTTACATTGTAACCTAAACTATAGCATACTGAAGCCCAATAATGAAATAGCTCACTTAAAATATTTACACGCTAATGGTAAAAAATTAATGTTAAGTATCTTCTATTTTACAATAATGACTGTTGGGTAAGTACCTTCCGTTTTTATTAAGTGAAACGGAGTGATGGACGAGAAATCATATACGAGTAAGTTTTTCAATATTTTAAGGTACTCTGTAGTATATTTTAAAAATTAGAGATACTCGACAGTCATTATTACAAAATAAAGGGTATCCAGTAGCAGTTTTTTGCGATAATGGGGTTAATGAGATTTCAAGTTGTGAATCATGGGGAACTTCTTACTTTCTTTATTTCTTTTTTTGTAATAAATATTTGCCTCATAAGATTCCGATCTCATCTAAATAAAATCTAAACATACAATTTTCAATTTTTTTAATAATATTTATAAATTCCGTAAAAATCAAATTCCATAAATATTTTTTTTGGAGAGGGGAGCATTTAAGAAATCACACTACCTGTGGACATGTACTCGGGAGCGGCATAACCGTACGTGCCAACAACGTTGGTGGTAACATGCGAGTTACCATCGATCGGACCAAACTTGGCTAATCCGAAATCAGAAAGCTTAGCATTAAATTCCTACAAATCAATCCGATAACCTTATTTAGTAAATACTTCATACGTCTCATATTAAATTAGGACAAAGCGAGTATACTCCAAGTATCCAACCAAACCAACCTCATAAATAAATCTTGTAAGAGTATCAAAATCTAATTAAATGGAAGTTGTTAGTTACCCCATCAAGTAAAATGTTGGAGGCCTTGAAATCTCTGTAAATGACACTTCTCTCTGTGTTGTGCAAGAAAACAAGTCCTTTGGCAGCTCCTATGGCAATTTTCAGCCTTGTGTCCCAAGAAAGTGGTTCTCCTCCCTTCTCTTAATTAGTAATAATGGTATTTAAACATTATTATATAATGAATTAATGAATTATCATGCACACTTAAGAGCATTATTAAAGAAATACTACTTTCTTAAAACACTTCTACTTTCATTTTTTTGTTTTTCCAAAACATTTTCATTTTCTATTAAAAACCACTTTTACTCCTATTTTTTCTTACCCTGCCTATCACATCATAGTTTTTCATTAATAATCTATATATCACAACTTACTTTTACACATCACATTAAAGACAAAATTGGAAAGCTAACCACAAATATACATTCCTTATTTCTCCTAAAGGTCAAAATAGGAACCGTTTTATGAAACAGATGGTTTAGTAGGGAAAAGCTCAGAGTGGAAGGGAGGATTAATATAAAATAAAAGGAGGGAGTTTGGGTTACATACTTCGGAAAAGATGACTTTCTAAGCTGCCCTTGAGCATGTATTCATAAACAAGAAGAAACTGCTTCTCCTCCCAGCAATAGCCCAAAAGCTTGACAAGGTTTGGGTGAGAAAATTTCCCCAAGAATTTCACTTCTGCCTGTTGATTGTTTCCAAACCGAACCTTAATTATTATTAATGGAACACTATAATGTGTACTCTTTTATTTTGTTTTTGTTACAATGAAAAAGAGATAGAATGTGACAATACAAGATTGTCAAAACCTTTTTAATTTTTTGGAGGAACCACTGTTATTATTGAGATACCAAAGAAAAAAAAACTCACAATACAAGATTGTCAAAACCTTTCTAATGTTTTATTTTATAAAACCCAGTTTGTATGTTAGAAGATTGTTTCATTGCAAGATTTTATAATTAACATTATTAATTTATTATTTTTGTAAGACTTTTTTTGGATTATATGCTTCATAAGTTTTTTTAAATGAGATTAATAGCTATCACTTATATCATCCTTTTTTATCCGCTTCGATCACCCGTGTGTGATTTAAAAATATACATATTGGTATATTTTGAAAGACAAAAAAAACTCTCTTGAAATAGAGTAGATGGATTTACCTATACAATGCCAAAACATAGTGAGTCTCTCAAAATAGTACTATATACTTTAATTTTCATATGTTAATGTAAATACTCATCGTTACTAGACATTGTTCAGAATAAATATTCACTGTCATTAGATATTCCTCCCACCATTGGATAAATTTTAAGTATTATTTTGATAAAAGATATACATCTAAATACTCCAGAGTATTTTGTGTAAATTTTACAAAAACAAAAAAGAAAAATAAACGTCTCAGTACAAAATCTTGACTTTTCTTTAATTGCGTACCACTTAAGCAAGACCCACGTCACCCATTTCGTTTGATTATACGTAGGTCCGTTTCTTACACGGAGAAAGTACGGAGCATCCGAGTATTAATTACTCCGTAATGTCTAACGAGTACTTTCGTCCCAAATTTGATTAGGCATTGAAATTAACGAAAGACAGTCTTTTTTTTTTTTGAAATTATCTTATTTACAAATTGTTATATAAATAAAAAATTAAAAGTATACACTAAAATTAAGTCAAAAGTTTTACAAAATAATAGTAGCAAGAAATATTTTTTTTATTTAATAATAAATGAAAACGCACAAATAAACAAAAATGATTGAGAGAGAAAAGAATTGTAACAAAAATTGGGATGGAGGAAGTATGATATTTTCCAATATCACGTCCTCCATCCGTTCATTGAAACTCTTCATGTTTGTTATTTAAAGATGTTCTATAACTTTTGTTTGCGTGTATTTTTTATAATTACGAAATATTTTATAAAATAAAAAATATTCCTGTCACCACTTATATTATTGTAGATTTTTTTATGTACTCCGTAGTTTTTAAATACTCCCTCTGTCCTAAAACTTTCTTCCACTTCTCCTTTTTCTCCGTCCTAAAATTACCTTCCCATTAGAAAAAAAGATGACAAATGACATTAATACCCTCATGTATTTACACTAATTATCTTCTGACTCTATATTTTGAATGATTGCAAAAAAATTCAAAAAATCTTTTTTTAAGGAGGGTAAAATTTGGAGTCAAAGTCAAAAATTAAAAATGAGAAAAAGTCAAACTGGGAAGAAAAATTAGGACGGAGGGAGTATGTAATTTCACCTTTTAATATAATATCAATTTGTAAATAAAATTATTTTAAAACAATGAGGTTTTGCACATAAAAATGAAATATGAAGATTTTTGGTGAATGGAGCGAGTACAACTCTTTTTTGGTATTTTATGAAACATAAAAAAAATAGATTTGCAATCATTCTTTACTTTGATTTTCAAAATTCCAGTTCTGATTTCATATTTTAGGCTTAAATTTTCAGAATCAAATTTTTTATAATATTAATAATGTCAGCATATTATTCAAAAAGCAAACAATGTGAAATGTAAATATACAATGTTAAATTTCCTTTATTATCATAGTTCAATATACACTTCAATGATTCTATTTTGAATAATAAAAGATACTCCATAGAAATCTTATTTTCTGAATAACTTCAATATTTTAATCTTATTTTGACATATTTGTTTTTCTAATTCTTTTTGGCTAATTCATTCTCAAATTCATCAATTTTAGAATTATTTAAATGTGTTCTAAAGATCGATGGAAAATACCTAAGTGGTTATGGAGAGTAAAAAAAGTTGAGTACTTATGACGTATTAGTCAGCAGGACTCTTGTATAATGTTAAGAAATACGGAGTACGTAGTCCTATAACTAACTCAATCAAAAATTTAATTTTGTACTCTCACGAGCTTAAAACATTTCTTTATAAAAAATGTCTTAAAAATGTGTAATTCTGTATTATTTTCTAATTTCATCATTACTTTAATTTATACTCCGTAATAGGATAGAATAGGACATACACAATAAATAAATCATAATTAGAAAACAACACCAAAATTACATATTTAATTTATAAGACACGGCTCTTTCAAATACAAAAAATATTTTGGGACGAGAGAGTAATTAATTGTAAGTTGAGAAAAGACTTTTTATATGGTAACAATGAGATACACAAGTCAATAAGCATATGCATAATTAGGAGGTTGATTAGTTAAGAATCAAAAGCCAAAATAATGAAATTTGATTAGTTACCTGCCATTCCTTCAATCCTTGTTCACTATCAGGATTGGATTTCTTTACAGCAACTGGGACACCTACCCCAACTCTGGAGGGTGCATAGTCCTTATTAGGGTCAACCCAGCCCTTAAACACCCTCCCGAACCCTCCCTCTCCCAGTATACTGTCCGGCCTGAAGTTCCTCGTGGCACTCTTCAGCTCCCCCAAAGTGAAAGGCTTCAAATTTGGCACCAGTATTTTCCCACTTGGTGGGACCACCTCACGGTGGCCGCCACCACCTCCGCCGCCTCCGCCTTTCTTCTTGGAAGAAGACGGCGGCGAGCTGGCGGTGACAGAACTCGTGGTGGCGGCTATCGGCTTTGGCCAGCAATTTCCCATAGCTCGAAAAGGTGGTTTGAAAAAAAATTGTGACGGGGGAAGAGAGTATATATATATATGTATATGTGTGTGTGTGTGTGTGTGTATATATATATATATATATATATATATAATGAATTCTCTCATTGAATTCACACAAAGAAGAAGACAGGAGAATGGACGGAGAAGAAGGGGAAAGACTTTCTTTTTCCGTTGACTTGTTCGATCGTTTTCTCACACCTGTTTTTCTTTAATGGTTTTAATTTTTAAAGCGAAAGGACTGGCCGACCGAGCTGATAGGATTATATTGCAAGTTGTTTGTTTATGTGTGGGTTTATTGGGCGTTTGGGGTGACTATTTTGTGAGTAAAACTACTAAAACTCAGATGTACGTTATACAGTTATTTGTTATGGTGAACTTGATACAGTTTGATAAATGTAAATCAATATGATATGAAGTGATATAAATAGATGTGGTTAAAGTGCAAGTGTGTTAAAACAAGTAATAAAAAAGATAGGCACAACGCGATGGATATGATAGTAGCCACGTACCCCCTGGGATCACGCGCCCTCTTCATGGGGAAGGCCGCGCAACACTTTGGGTGTGATGGGGCGCAAAGAAGAATCCTGCCTCCCTCATTACACCTTGTTGAGTGTGAAGCTAGGAAGGTTGGTGGAAGCCAACTAGAAATTGACAGGAAATTATCTCGAAGCTTAAAGCCATACTTAATTATTATGAAATATTTGCACTAAATAATTCATATTTAAGAGATGCTTATGTGCTTGTAATCTTGGTGTGCCACAACAAAAAAAATCATCCTAGTTGCCCGTGTGGTGTACGTTTAGTTGCGACTGGACTACGTTAAATCTCGTGCGTGTCGTTTATTTATGCAGTTGATTCATAATTTTGTGTGT